TATATATATATATATATATATAGTTAATATATATATATATATATATATATATATATATATTTAAAGCATAACCCATACATACATGTATCATCGCTTGATTACCACGATTACCACATTATTACCACGATTATGACGTGATAATCCGCAAAATCCGAAAGGTTAAACCGCGAAAACCGTTTATTATCGCGTTTAATAGGCGATGTTGTAAATCGCGAAAATGTAATACCTCATTTGTAATGCCATACATGCTGACATGTATGCACCAAGCTGCTACAAATTTCAGATTACATTGCAATTTTGATGTAACGGTGTGATAATTCACTTATTATCACAGGCAACGTGCTCGATCGATCAACAATTGATGACGGAATCGATAGAACGGAATATTTATATGCGACACGGAGGGACAATATTTAACGTTTGCGTGAACGAAACATTACACATTACGCGTGTTTGTGCAGGAAGCATTGTAACAATGGACAACTGAACCGATCGAATCGTCGGCGCATTACACGCCTACGCGGCCACGGAAGTTATTGTTAAATTCGAAATATTTCCTCTAACAATTGAATGACAGCTAAAACGGCTGGAAATGAACGTTGCTTTTTAAAGCGTAATAGACAGTAGTATCACGGGTTAATGACGGATGACATAATTGATCAAATAAATGGATAGTTGGGTACCGATTAACCGGGAATCGATTAATCGCGCTAACGACTAATTGCCATCATCTGATGAATTGAGGTCGCCTGGATTCGATCACTCTTGTCCTGCTGCCACTCTGTATATTGATATAGATTCCAAAACATATGTCCTAAAAATGTCTACATAGTGTAAAACAATATTTTTACTTAAAATTAATTTATCTAAGACATATTAAGTCCTCTTAAAAATATAAACTTTCTAAATATAAACTAGAAACTTTTTTATATAATCACATAGCTCATTTAAGCTTTTCATCAATATTAACATTTAAGTGCAATTTATTATAATATTATTACAAATGATATAATATTTTTCTAAGAGAATAGGTGTGCAATTGCGATAATCGTATCAATTATTCATAGGCAAATCAATGGTCGGAACTCGGGCGGATGCAATCTAATCGGGCATTCACTTTGCTTGTAGATCTCCTGGATACGTAAGAGGGATTTGCATATCCTGACGTCATCGACCCTCGCTTACACGGGGGATGCAAGATTTTCTGTTAAGCACCCAGAAGCATCCGACGAATGGACGCTGAGGATCGAGTATGTTCAACCACGGGACGCCGGGGTTTATGAATGCCAGGTTAACACCGAGCCCAAAATGAACTTAGCCTTCATGTTAAAAGTCGAAGGTAAAATCAAGCTCGTAAAATCTCTAGAAATTTGCCGGATAACCCTTTCATGGATCGCTTAATTCCAGACAAACGTACGTAAATAAGTTTTATCACAGGAGAAAACAAAAAAAAAGAAAAATAAGTTATATTTAAAAATATGTTGATATATTAAAGTTTCTTTTTCTTAATTTTTAACATTATGCAGTATGATTAATATATTACATTATATTTACATGTATATTTTATAAATCAGAATACATATTTAATTGTAATTTAATATACTGCAATGTATCAAATTATTATAATATGAAATTTTAATAATTTTAATTAAAAGCGAGAGACTGTGAAAGGGTTAAATTAGATTCCGTAATGACTCTATACCATTGTAAATATATTTTGCGTAATTTACGATAGGTGAAAGAATACTTGAACGCTTTCATAAGTGTCTATCACCTGATTGATCAGGAATGACACTGCTGGATAACTCGAATACGCACCAGCATGACCAAAATGATTAATGCTTCCGCTTGCATGTCTGTCACGTGAAGAGTATCCTAAAGTTATCGATTAGCTTTGTTGCATCTATTTCTCTGATCGAGTAATCGCATAATATCTCAGTTACTTTAATTACCAGCGCACAATATCGATTTCGTCTTTCAATACGTAAAGTACCTATATTTATGTGTATATATGTGTACATATTATATAATCGCTTGATACAACAAATACTTATAAAATATTTTGATAATTAAAGTTTCTTTAATAATAAAATTTATTTATATGTGTTTCCGGGAACGAGATAGCTACAGAATTCATTGTGTATATATCAATATTTAACCAAATATTTAAACATTTACATAGATGTTTAAAAATGGCAATATATTTATTTATTAATTAATTTGATTGTTATACTTTGATTATCGCTTAAATGTGGATATGGAATTTTTTCAACGGGAATTTATAAGCTCGTTATATTTTCATGTATTCAAATATTTTATTAGGACACACAGTTTTAAAATGTTGGATTACAGAATCTTCACAATCTCGACTTACATGCATAAAACGGACGATAGAAAAGAAAGAGGAAAACAACATTAAAAACAAAATATTCTTTAATGGATATTTCGCAGGCATACGTGATTCATATATACCGATAGTATTTTCAACATTAGTTGAATTCCCAATCTTGAAACAATAGATCTTGACGAAATCGATTAACTCGATATCTTTTCTGTCCTCCCATTCCAGAAAGTGCCCCTGTCCCTGCCATCACCACACCAAACGCCATTCACCGGACGTTCAACTCAGGTTAGATTCACGCAAAGAGCAGACTCCTTTTCCAAGCTATTGAATTTGCTAGCTGCTAGAAGTATTATTTGCGACATATAGTTACATGCCATAACATTTTTTTTTATATTTGTAAGCAAGCTTGATAAGTTTCGTTTGCCAATGAGTTGAGGTCGTCGTATGTATGAAGAGGATGAAACAGGCATTTCATTTAGGTGTCGTTACGCGGGACTGTCAGCAAATAATTTTTTTTGCAGATACAGCTGACGCTAACGCGTGCTAATTTTCTGCCGTAATATTGCACGTCGTAAATATACCATACGTTAAACGTTGGGGGTCGAACCGTGTGCGAGAACTTTTTTTCAAACGGTGAAAACTCCATGCGCGAACGTAATGAGAATATCTTCTGGCCAATATTTGAACAGCCTCAACTTATTTAGACTTGTAGATTTTGGCTGTTAATGATAGTTAATTGATGTGTAATTTTATGTAGAGCTACGCTCAAAGATTTGCATGTGAAAAATTAAATTATCTTCTGGTTGACCTCTCGTGACTTTATATATATATTTTATGTATTTATTTTACATAAACTTTTTAAGATATCTGCAGCGACAATTTAATTAATAAGTAAGTATGAATTGAAGCACATTTTTTCTTTTCGTGCAGATATTATTGATAATGACAAATATCGATGTGTTTATTTTTATGCATTACTTTTTTTTTTCTTATTCTCTTCTTAAATATTGTCTTGTTGCTCTCAACAGTCCATAAATAATATATTTATTAATTAATCTATTTTAATTTTAATTTATTATTGCATACAAATTTTATTTTTGTTGATAATTGTTGATAATATCATAAGTTTGAAATAGTCAAATAATTTATAAAATTATTAAAATATTTAAAATTTAAACAGGAAAAAAAATTTTACAAAATAGAAATTTAACGCGCAGAAATATAGTTTATATTAATTCGTTTAATTATATTCCACATTATTTTTAAATATATAATGTGGATTCTGAGTGAAAACAATAATATTAAACGAATAATATTAATAATACTAGCGATCCAAATGCAACATAATATTCTAATTGAATTGATATAAACACAAAATTATTTTTTTAATATACGTATAACATAGAACGTTACTTATATTAATTGCAAGTACATATTTATTATACATATTTATTTTGCAATTTTTTTACCAAGTTAGAAAATTGGCAAATATAATAAATTACTTTTCTTGATAATATAGACTTGTAATATATAATCTATTGTAATTTATAACATTGCATTTTAAAAATCCACAACGTTTTTCATACGAATAGAAAGCATAGAAAGAGAATTTGTATCAATTAATTTTATTAATATAAAAAATACCGCAGCCATATTCACTGCTTTAACCATATTGAGTTATCGTATTACTTTATGCTTTACAATTTTATATAAATGAAACAAGTAGAGCAATATTTCGCTTCCGTAAAATTTTAAATCATGCAAGCATAATGAATGAATATCGATAAAAGGCACGATTTGATATTTTCATTCCGATGACAGTTATTTAATATAGATGGCTGCAGATGTGGAATATTTAAACGTACGATTTCTGATATATGTTGCAGCTGCTCAGGCGACGATCCTGGGGCCGGAAGACGTCTACGTGAAGAAGGGTAGCACGATAAGCCTCACATGTGAAGTGAATGTGCGAAGTACACCCCCCAGTAGCGTTTCCTGGCATCACGGAGGAGCCGTGGTAGATTTCGACAGTCCCAGGTACAAACTGCAAGAATTGAGTCTCGCAGCTTCGCTCTTCTGCACCCCTTTTCCTTCTTCCCCCCCCCCCACGTGCACACGTATACAGATAACATTTCCCATTTGATCGTGGAGGTTATCGCATAATCGACGAAATCCCAGATGTTTCGCAAGTTTCTCTCGAGGAGGAAAGCTTTGGCCGGTTTTTCGGGTCGCTACTTTGCGGTATCGCCGATCGAGCGGAAAGCGTCGGAGTATCCCGTCTTTAATCTTTTCGTCAGCCCCTTAACTCGGAGAAGGGTCATCAAGAGTCGAAAAAGCAAACGACCTTTGATCCGGCAATTTTGTTCGGGATTACTTTAGATAATGTTTTGTGCGAAAAACTATGAAAGTAGTTTCTTTCCTTTTCTCTCTCTCTCTC